TATATATATATATAATTACAAGTTTATGACAATTTAACAACATTATAAATACCCCTTAGTTACATAGTTAATTTTGTTTTGAACAATGCACTTGAGTAAGTGTGTTTATCTTTTTGCCCACCCCTATTATTGTTAGCCATACTCTCACAAGCTTCATTTTAAAGGTGAGAGTTGCTTATTATAACAAATAACTTCTGTCTTTTCTTTCTTCATTCCCCCTTTAACTCTGATGAAGGAAAGTTTTATTGTCCAAAAGTGCTTTAATTTCATTAAGTGTGTTTTTTTAGACCGTTATTAATATTCAACTTCCTATCCAGTGTTGTGAAGTTTTTTTTCTTGTAACTTTACTACAATTAGTCAGAAGTAAAACTAGCAAAATTAAAAACGATTCTTGATGAGATTGATCAGAATTTTTGTAAAATCCTAAATAAAAGTACCACAGCAAAAGCAGTAAACGTTTGACAAGTGAGACGGCAACAGACATTTCATACTTAAGCATTTCAGAGTATGTACATATTACACCTTTAACAAGCTAATAACAAGGTAAAATATTAGATGCAAATATTTTAAATTTATGAAGTTCCAACATTTCATAAAGAGGATTAAAATACTAAGTGGGAGAATGAAATGAATGTTTACAAAATTTTGTATAGAATGCAACAGTTGCTACATTCCCATAAAAATACTCTTGAAATGTATGTTGATTGATAGTGTAAATGTTCCAACTTAGTCTGAAGAAAGAGATCTTTAACTTAAAGTCTCTTGTGGTAGCTTGGTGATTGATTTCACACATCTTTATGTACTGGTTCATAATGCAATGGTTTAGAATATTTTTCTTGCAAAGCTTTACTGTTGCTGAGTTATCAACATTATAGGTATTGAAAGTTTAATAATGGTTATCAGTCGATGATGAGAAACATGTCCTAACACCTGAGATATGTGTATATATTATTTCTATATTCCTTTTATGATTGAAAACTAACAAGTGGAAAGAGTTCTTTATTAATTTTTGATGTAATGAATAGTTTGTTGTATTAATAATTGCTTAAAAAAAAAATCTTATTTCAGTGTATAACAATGTGAATACACACCAAAATTTGTTTTGGTGTAAACATTTTAGCTGTTATTGTATGAAACCACCAATAAAGATTCCAACTTTTATAAAATTAATGTTTCTTGTGTGTTTGATAAAGGTTCACTTGCCAACACAATATAGTTCAAAACTGCATAGCCATTTTATTAAACATGATCTGTTTATGTCTATAAGTAGTATGACTGTTTTTTTTTGTTTACCTTTTTTGTGGATTGTCTAAATGAATGTTATGAAAATAGGTTTTTTGATCCTGTAGTCCAGTTCCACTCATTTACTAGCATATTGCAATGGAATGTTAGTAGCAACAGTTTTATAATTGAGAGTTACAGACATTAACCCATTAACTGCGGATGATGAATATTTCCGTCACTGAAGTTCTATGGCTCAGCTGCGAATGACGGAAATATCCGTTGCACATATATAACTATAATTCTATGCTAATGACGAAAATTACCATTTTATTGTGATTGATGGCAACTCGGTTTTATCTGTGAGTCAGAAAACGGCAACCGAGCTGCTCCTGCCGCAGGTAATGGGTTAATATTTATGGGCAAATTATAATATATATTAACATGGATGTTTACTAGGCTGATTTGTTATATTAAAAAAAAAAAAATTGTTTTCAGCAGTGATAAGAGTTGAGTATTACTTGAAGTATTATGTAACTTCTTAACACTTGTGTCCAGTGGACCAAGGACTTGATTAATACAGTACAGCACTGCAAATAATTAAAAAAAAAGGGTAAATAGTTACAGTTAAGAATATTATTTTATTTATAATTGTATTTATTTTACCATTTTGCTTATTTGTTTAAGCTGAAGCCTTTGGGCTCAGTTCTTAGTTTCATGGTAAAAAAATTTTTTTTACAACTACCTATGTGTGCTGAGGGGTTCAGAATTTGTTTTAAATTATCTAAATGGTCTTTGTGTTCATTTCATTTTACTGTTTGTTTTCATTTTTCAGTTAAGTCATCTTTAATAATTTTTCAAGTATTAAAAATATTTATCAAGTTAGAATATCATACATACTTTATTTGTGATGGAAAGCAGACTAAAGTTAAACAATAAGTTAGTCATCCTGTTGGCTATATTACTTATGATTTGGATGATTTAATATTTAACACTTAACATAACAATAGCTACAATACTTCATTTTCAAAATTTACTTTTGTTTTATTCCACACACACATACCCTATACCATACTGTTACAAACTGGCATTATTCATCTCTGTGCTTATTTTTTAGCCGCTGTAGTTAATTTCTGATTTTGGCCTGAAGTTCATTTGTATTATTTTTCATTGATTGAAAGTTATTGAAAATTAATTTGTTTATAGGGTAAAAACAACATATTTCATTATAAGCAAGAACAAGCACAAAATGATTTAATGTACATTATTTCTAAACAGAAACAAACCACTATTTTTGTACAGTAAAACCAAACTTTTTTGTATAAACCATCATATAATGTTTTCCTGCTATTTAAGAATTTTATAAACTTCTATATAAAAAGAAATTAAGTGGAAATTTTATTCATTATGGGATATTAATAATAACCCTAATAAAGATTCGAATCTTGCTAGGTATTAGATAGTTTGTTCACCAGTGTAAGCTGACCGAACCTGAAGATGCACATGTAAAAGTGAATTCAGTTTAACAATAAATAAAGCATTAACATTTGAAAGATCGCACTGCCAGTACAACAGTTTAATTTACTGTAGCCAGTTGGACCCAAATATTGCAATTCTGTGCTGTGCATTTTGAATAGTAATGGTGTTGTGGATATAACTTAGTGTAAATGTACATACAGCATTTTAGTTACTTAGTATTATTTATCCCCCAAACGCACACATCAACTATATGGTATGCAAGTATGGAGTTTTCCCATTGGGAGGGAGGGTCTTTTTATGCTGGTGGCCCAAAGTTACAGTATTTACTGTAATGTGAGAATGCATATAAATGTGGATCAAAACGTTTTTGACCAAGATCACTGAAACATAGAAGATGCTGTCCATAGAAAACTAAGTCCTTTTATTGGTTTGTTCAAATGATTGAAGAGAACTAGCAACAATCAAATTAATATTTTCTCACTGTCTTGTTATAAACTTACATTGTTAACAGATGACAGAGGGAAATATAAAAAAAGCAGAATATTTGGTATTCGTTTAATTTTGACTTTAGTATATTAAAAATATGGACAACATTGTGTGACAAATATTTACAGTAAAATTGGACAGTGTTTTAAAACTTACCAGGTGTGTGGCCTCCCTCTCTCTCTCCGTATTTATTTGATTTGTAATGCTAGGAATGAATCGTTTTGCTGAATTTCAGATAAAGGAAATTTTACGTTTTCTAACTTCTGGTGGTTAGTTTTTAGACAAAGTTTTACCCATATATTTTTCTATATAACTATAATTTAAGACTATAATATAACTATAATAGACGCATTTAATACTGAAAGTGCATTGCTGTTGAGCAAGTAAGGATTTTTTTTGTCCTGGAGGGTTTTTTACTGATGTGGTGGTGTGCATAAATAGTTCTCTCACGATAAATTTCACATTTTATTGCTATAAAATTGCATTACTGTACGTCCTGTCGAGCATTCGTTATTTAATAGTAATGAAGAGAAACGAATAATGAATTGATGTAAATTGTGT